CGTAGTAGTCGTAGTAGTCGTAGTAGTCGTAGTAGTCGTAGTAGTCGTAGTAGTCGTAGTAGTCGTAGTAGTCGTAGTAGTCGTAGTAGTCGTAGTAGTCGTAGTAGTCGTAGTAGTCGTAGTCGTAGTCGTAGTGTAGTAGTCGTAGTAGTAGTAGTAGTAGTAGTAGTAGTAGTAGTCGTAGTCGTAGTCGTAGTCGTCGTAGTCGTAGTCGTCGTAGTCGTAGTCGTAGTCGTAGTAGTCGTAGTAGTAGTAGTAGTAGTAGTAGCAGCAGCAGCAGCAGCAGCAGCAGGAGTAGTAGTAGTAGTAGTAGTAGTAGTAGTAGTAGTGGTGGTGGTGGTGGTGGTGGTGGTGGTGGTGGTAGTGGTAGTAGTAGTAGTAGTAGTAGTAGTAGTAGTAATAGTAGTAGTAGTAGTCGTAGTAGTAGTCGTAGTCGTAGTGGTAGTAGTGGTAGTGGTAGACGTAATATTCGTGTTTGTAGCGGTAGTCGTAGGAGGAGTCGTAGCAGCAGCAGTGGCGATAGGAGTACAAGCAGGAGGAGGAGGATGTGATTTCTGTTAAACGAATGCACGCGCATAGTTCCACAAACAGAGCTTGCATTTCGGGGCTCTCACTTGACTGAACCGTTTCGGGATGAATGCCAACTTTTGCAGGCGGTGCCGCCCGTCGCCGCCGTCGTCGCCACTGCTCGGGGCGAGTGGCGGCTTTTGCGGGCGGTGCCGCCCGTCGCATTCGAGGAGATTATGTGGGCCTGGTCACGATCTCCCCCCGCCCCCTAACCATCACCCTCCCCCCTGCAAGGAGGAAGAACTGGCATGCTCTGTAAGGACCGCCTTTTTGAGGTACATCTGCCCTCAAACAAGCCGGAGCAGACCGGTTTTTCAAGGGCAGATCTGCCTCCAAAAGAGCAGCTCTTACAGAGGAGGCCGCCCTCGGGAGCTGCGCTCCAGGCTCGGGGCTTCGTAAACGGGGGTTCAGCTAAATGGGGAACCAGGCTCTTCCATATACCCCCGTTTACCGTACTCCCGTTTGCGGCGCCCAGGGCCCCCTGAACGGAGGCGTAGCCAAACGTGGAAATCGGCGCTCCCCGTACCCCCGTTGGCTGTACCCCCGTCTCAGGCGCCCTCGGGAGGGATGATGATGAGGAGGAGGAGGAGGAATGGAGGAATGGAGGAGGAGGAATGGAGGAGGAGGAACGGAGGAGGAGCAATAGGAGTGGAGGAGGAATGGAGGAGGAGGATTGGAGGAGGAGGATTGGAGGAGGAGGAATGCATGAGGGCGGGGGACCAACAATAATATCTTTCCCAGACCACCGACGTTTCCATTTTTCTCAACGTCATACCCAGGAGGTCTGGACCCCTTCCCCAGGACCGGCTCTTCAGGAGGAGGAATGGCGCCCTGACCGGGCGCCGCCGCCGCCGCCGCCCGAGCCGGTGTATCCTCTCGTAGGTGAAGCCGCTGCCCGACAGCAGCACGGGGTCCTGCGAGGGGGCGCCCGGCGGCCGAGAGTGCGGGGTGGAGGTGGGGGGAGGAGGAGGATGAGGAGGGGGAGGAGGAGGAGGAGGAGGGGGAGGAGGAGGAGGAGGAGGAGGAGGAGGAGGAGGAGGAGGAGGAGGAGGAGGAGGAGGAGGAGGAGGAGGGGGAGGGGGAGGAGGTGCGCCGCGATCCAGGAGGGAAGGCAGGTGTCCGCCGTCGCCCGGCGGCGGCCCAGGGATGGACGACGGGCGCGCTGCGGCGAGGAGGAGGCCACGAGAGCAGAGAGGGAGAGAGAGAGAGAGAGAAGTGCGACACCAGTGTTAGCCAGCGTGCGCCCCAAGCAGTACGTTCTAGAATGCCAAGTGATGCAACCTATGTGGTGCAGGTTATGTGGTGCAAGCTGGATGGTGCCAACGATGTAGTGCAATATGCGTGCTGCAATATGTTTGGTGTGAGCTATAGCTGTGCGGTCTATGCAGTGCAAAGTATTCGGTGTGGTCCATATGGCGCAATCTACGTGGTGCAATCTCCGTGGTGCTTGTCAGCTCACAGCGGTTGCAAAGCCCCTGCGGCGGCGATTGCGATGACTGCTTGGCACTGGCAGGCGCGCCTCTTGGGCCGCGCTAGAGCGCGCAAGCTCAAGCGCTGAGCACCCAAATAGTTTGGCACAACCGGCGCGGCCTCGATGGCGCTGGCCGATTGGGACTTCCAAGCGCGTCTCCCATGCCACGCTGGCGCGCGGATGCCTCAGTGCGGGTAGGTGACTAGGGCTGGCGCGGCATCATGATGACGTCGACGACGACGGAAAGGATGATGATAGTAGCGATGATGGTGCCGATGATGACAATGACGACGGCAAGGCCGATGACGGCGCTGATGCTGGTCACGCTCGTGACGATAAGAGGTGCATGTGTCGCTGATGACAGTTTTAGGAGGAAAGACTCAAGCGACCCGATCACAAGACTAGCACAAGTCATATTCCACTCAGCAAAACAACAACACCGCATCACCATCCACCACATCCACGGCCACGACGACCACCCGTGGCACGAACTTGCGGACACAGTAGCAAACACCATGTCTCCAAGCACTCAGAGGAGGACTATCACAGACCTGCACAGGCACTTACACAACCCGACGCCACAATACAAGCACCCCATATAGACCACCCACACAGATACTGGACACTGCACAAAGCAGCCAACAACGACGACTACTGCGCTTACCCAATGATATCAACCGATGGGCTACACTACGCAGCACACACCTCACACAAGAACAAGCCACTCGCGACCACCAACCTTCTGCAATCCGACAATGTTAGACCCAAACGCACTAACGAAAGTACCAACGCAATCGAGTTCAATATCAAGATAGCAACTTGCAACGCACAACGTGCCAACGTATATTCACTCAACGAGGAACTATCATACGACGAAAGGACTTTCCAGCACATGGCGCGAGGACAACACTTGCGAGCACAAGCACTACTCCACAGTACCCACACTATGGAAGCCCAAAAAACAACAGCACAAAGCGATTTCAGCGCAGCAGACGGTTTCCTTCAATTCACCACCCCACAGCATCCGTCCAAACTTGGATGTAGCCGACTCGTGAACATATCAATTCCTTACGCGACATTTCACCCTACTCGGGGATCTTCTGACCGGGGTCAATCCAGACCCGGGTCAGCAGGAAACCAAAAACTGCAATGAAGGAAAACAGAAACTGCAACGCAGGTCTTCGCGAACCCGGGTCAGCCAACATGCGCGGCCGCCTCGCAGCCACGAGCGCCTCGCGAACCCGGGTCGGCCAGAGGGGGTCTTCGCAGGATCCTGTAGGATCTGGTGCCCTGGCTAACCCCCGTTTGCGTTGACCCCCGTCTCAAGGCTCCTACTCGCCACGTGACAACGCCGGGGGAGCGAAACAAGTACTGCTCCAGCCTCCTCGCCACGTGCAAACGCTCGGAGAGGGAAGCAAGCACTGCCCCGCTGCACTCACCACGCGGCAGCGCCTGCGGAGCCAACGCCGGCACGCCTGCTCGCGAGCGTGCGCGCCCGCGCGCGCCACCTGGCATCGCCGAGAGAACGAAATCAATCCGCCGATCCAGCACGTGAGCTTCTTAGAGCGTGGACTTGAGCTCGCTCAAGCTTCGCTCTGCAGGCGGGGGGGGAGGGTGGCGTGCGTTACTTCCGACGTCATTTCCGACGTTTTCCGGTACACGGGGATATTTCCCACGTCATTTCCGACGTTTTTCGGTACCCGGGGACAGGGTGGTATACAAAACTCCACTTCCGGAGGCCCCCCCCCGGATCGGCGGCACTGGCCGGAGGCCAGCCCAATACTGGTCCACTGGTCCACTCTCCTTACGTGGCATTGAACATAGGGCGGAACACATACTACTGCACTGTACTCTCAGCACGTGGCAGCGCTCGAGGGGCGAAACATAATTACGGCACTCTACCTGGCACGTGGCAGCGAAGCGGGCCAGAACACATACTGCTCTACCCTGTTCGCCACATGGCGACGCCATGTGGCAAGACCTCAGAGGCAAACACAGATACTATCCCTCTCTACTCGCCACGCGGCAGCGACACGGGGAGCGAACAAGAAGCACACCTCCGCTCTGGGCATCACGTGAGGAATGCCGCGCTGACCGAACATATACAAATCTCGCTCTGCTCGCCACGTGGCACCGACATGTGGCAAGACCTGAAAGGCCGACATACATACGATCCCACTCCACTCGCCGCGCGGCATCGACATGGGGAGCGAACAAGAAGAGTACACCTCCGTTCAAGCCATCACGTGAGAAATGCCGCGCGGACCGAACACACATACAAATCTCGCCCTGCTCGCCACGTGGCGACGCCTGGGAGGTAAAAACTCATCTTCCATCCGACTCGCTACGTGAAAACACCGCGAGGCGGGAACAAATCCGCCGATCTGGCGTGTGAGTTTCTGAGAGCGTGGACTTGAGCTCGCTCAAGCTTCGCTCTGCAGGGGGGGGAGGGGGGCGTACGTTATTTCCGACGTCATTTCCGGTACCTGGGGACAGGGGGGTATAGAAAACTCCAACTCCGGAGCCCCCCCGGATCGGCGGCACTGGCCGGAGGCCAGCCCAATACACCGCCACTCCATTCGCAACAGGGCAACGACGGGCCGACAAACAACGAATAAGACCTCACAACAACCAACAAAATCGCAGAAGCAACAGACGGACGACGCTGAGGTTCCCGATGGGAAACACCACTCGCCGACGCGCTACCCAGAACCCGATAAGCTCAAGACGTTCAGGTGTGGACTTTTTACAGCCTTACTACCCTCTCTGTTGCCCGCGTACGTTTCCTACCTCTGTCTGCCTTGTCCTACCGACTGCACCCTGGCTCGTCCTACCTCCTCGTCCCTGCTCCCATCTCCTGCCCCCCTCCCACTCCTCCGACCTCCTCCTGCTGCCTACCACCTCGCCCTGCCTCCTTCGAGATTCTCTCCTAAAATGTTCTGGGTGGGCGCGCTCCCAACTTGTCGGATGTCGCCCCTCCCAGAGTTTTAGGGTTGGGCCTCCGTCGTTCTCTCCGGTTTCGCCCCTGTCGCGATCTCGGGCTTGGCCCTGCCCGTTTTCGGGCTTCGGGGGAGCTTCCAGGTTCAAGCTTCTCCCCACGTAGGGCGGAGGACAGGATGAAAGGAGAGAAGGGGGACTGCGAGGGTGAGGGAGAAAGCAGGGGTGCCCGCGCCTCCTCCTCCCCCCTCCTTCTCTCTCTTTCCCCTCCTCCTCCAATCTTCCCCCTCCTCCTGTCCAAAATTATTACCCTGGCCCTTCTCCTCCTCCTCCTCCTCCCCCCCGCCTCCCCTCCTCCCCGCCTCGCACCTCCCCACCCCGACTCCGAATCTTGACCCTGGCGCAGCCGCTTCCTTTTCCCAGCTCCTGGCCTCCTCGGGCCTCCTCCGCCACAGAAGACCACCGCATGCGCACTGTCGTGCCCAGGCCGTCTTTGCCGCACTGGCCCCGGCGTCCCCGAGGGTCCTGCATTATGTCGTGCGCGATGGGGCACATGAACTCTTCGGGCGGCTTTTCCTCTCGGGCGGACTGATAGCCGGCCCACAGGTGTCTGTGGAAGATCAGAACGGCATGGGATCTGATGTGTGGCTGTGGAACCCCAGTGAAGTCTCGGGCCAACCCTGACCAACCCTCCCGGTTGATAGCATCGGCGAACGAGGGTGACAAGAAGGATCAGCAGCAACGGGAAGAGAACACCCACGCCCACGCCCGCGCCCACAACCACGCCAACGCCCGCGCGCGCGCCCACGCCAACACCCGCGCACATGGCGAAGCCCACGCCCACGCCCACGCCCACGCCCTCGCCCAGGCCCAGGCCCAGGCCCAGGCCCAGGCCAACGCCCGCGCCCATGCCCACACCCACGCCCACGTCCACGCCAACACCCGCGCCCACGCCCACGCCCACGCCCACGCCGACGCCCACGCCCACGACCACGCCCACGCCCACGCCAACGCGCACGCCCACGCCCACGCCTGCACCAACGCCCGCGCGCGCGCCCGCGCCCACGCGCTCAGACCCAGGCCCACGCCCAGGCCCACGCCCATTCCCACGCCGACGCCCACACCCACGCTCACACCTGCGCCCACACCCAGGCCAAGGCCAAGGCCAACGCCCGCGCCCACGCCCACACCCACGCCCACGACCACGCCCACGCCCACGCCCACGCCCACGCCCACGCCCACGACCACGGCCAAGCCCACGCCCACGCCCACGCCCACGCCCACGTTCACGCGCACGCCGACGCCCACGCCCACACCCACGCCCACGCCCGCGCCCATGCCCAGGTCCACGCCCGCGCCCTCGCCCACGCCCGCGCCCACGCCCACGCCCACGACCACGCCCAAGCTCACGCCCACGCCCACACCCACTCCCACGCCCACTCCCACGCCCGCGCCCAGGCCAAGGCCCAGGCCCAGGCCCACATCTACGCCAACACCAACGCTCACACGCACGCCCGCGCCCACGCCCACGCCCACGCCCCCACACCCACACCCACGCCCACGCCCACACACAAAGCCCACGTCTACACCAAAGCCAACGCCCGCGCCCACGCCCACACCCACGCCCGCTCAGACGCACGACCACGCCCAAACACGTGCCGAAACCCATTCCCACGTCCGCGCCCACACCGACGCCCACGGCCCACGCCCACACCCGCGCCCACGCCCACGCCCATACCCACGCCCACGCCAACGCTCACGCCCACGCGCCCACGGCCACGCCCACACCCACGCCCACGCCCACGCCCACGCCCACGACCACGCGCCCACGCCCAGGTCCACGCCCGCGCCCATACCCACACCCACACACACACCTACGCCCACACCCAGGCCAAGGCCCAGGCCGCGGCCCAGGCCCACGCCCACACGCACGCCCACGCCAACGCTCACACGCACGCCCACGCCCACGCCCACGCCCACGCCCTCGCTCATTCACACGCCCACCGCGCCCACGCCCACGCCCACGCCCGCGCCCACGCCCCCGCCCACACCACTCCCACCCCACTCCCACGCCCGCGCCCAGGCCAAGGCCCAGGCCCAGGCCCACATCCACGCCAACGCCAACGCTCACACGCACGCCCGCGCCCACGCCCACGCCCACGCTCACGCCCACGCCCACGCCCGCGCACACGCCCACGCTCACGCCCACGTTCACGCTCACGCCCACGCCCACGCCGACGCCCACGCCGACGCCCACGCCCACGACTGCCCCCACGCCCACGCCCAAGCCCGCGCCCACGCCCACGCCCACGCCCACGCCACGCCCGCCCACGCCCGCGCCGCACCCACGCCCACGCCCACGCCCACGCCCACCCCCACGACCACGCCCACGCCCAGCTCACACGCACGCCCACGCCCACGCCCACACCCACGCCCAGGCCCAGGCCCACGCCATCGCCCACTCACACGCCCACGCCCGCGCCCTCCACCGCGCCCACAACCACGCCCAGGCACAGGCCCACGCCCACACCCGCCCCCACGCCCACGCCCACGCCCACGCCCGCGCCACGCCCACGCCCACGCCCATGCCCACGCCCTCGCCCATCCCCACGCCCCGCCCACGCCACGCTCACACGCACCCGCCCACGCCCACACCCACGCCCACGCCTACAACCCACACCCACACCCACTCCCACGCCCACGCCCACGCCCACGCCTGCACCAACGCCCACACACACGCCGACGCACACACCCGCACCCACGCCCAAACCCACGCCCGCGCCCACGCCCACGCCCTCGCCCACGCCCAAGCCAACGACCACGCCCTCGCCCACTCCCACGCGCACGCTCACGCCCACGCACACGATCACACGCACGCCAACGCCCAACCCCACACACCAAAGCCAACGCCCACACCAAAGCCAACGCCCACGCCAACGCCCACACCTGCGCCCAGGCCCAGGCCCAGGCCCAGGCCCACGTCAACGGTCACACGCACGCCCACTCCCACAGCCACGCCCACGTCCACGCCCGCCCTCACGCCCACGCCCACGCCCACGCCCACGCCCACGCCCACGCCCGCGCCACGCCCACGCCCACGCCCATGCCCACGCCCTCGCCCATCCCCACGCCCACGCCCACGCCCACGCTCACACGCACGCCCACGCCCACGCCCACACCCACGCCCACGCTCGCGCCCACGCCCGCGCCCACTCTCGCGCACAGGCGCACGCCAGCGCAGGCAGGGGGGGGGTCGATCCCCCCCGCCCGCTTGAACAGGGGGGGGGGCCAATCCAGACCCCACCCCTCCAGGCGTACACAAAACGCGCGTTTTCTATAGTTAACTCCTGGTTGTCCCCAAGAAGGCTTCCACGGTGCACTCATGAGTGCTTCGAGTCTTTCTCCGAGCAGACCCTTTGGTTGGATCTTGTGTCTGTGAGGAGATTCTTGCGCCGATCCTAAAGAAGCCCTCCAGCTTCTATACTCATATGGGGAGCGTGACGATGATACGGCAGCATTTCCCTCCATCCCCGTCTGTCTGAGTCACGGCAAGCTCCCAAACTTTCACGGACAAGCGAAAGAATTGCTGGATGAACTGGTGGGGACACGCGATGCGCTCACAATTCTACCTGCGGAGCCGATTTCTGAAACACCCGCGTGGGCTCCGACCTTGAAGAATGTCTGCAGCCAAATGACCACGACGGGGGTGCCCCATCCTCAACGTCGCCTGACCCGCAGGGGCTATGCTCGCACACCGGGTGGCCCAACAGAGGGGACATACCTGAGTATGCCCTCCAACTTGCTCACTTGTCATCAACACTCGCGTAACGCGCTCTCTCGAAAACCATGCGAATCCAGATGCGCGCAGGTCTTTGCCCCGCTCCTGAAGCGTTGCCGCGGAAGGAAGAATCGGAGGAATCGGGAGTGCGACATCTGCGGGCGAGGTCCGGCCTACCCCACGCGACCCCGCCAGTCCTCGCAGCCCGCAGGGTACCTGGGAGGGCCCGAGAGGAAGGGGGCGGCCAGGATGACCGCGGGGCGAAAGGGGAAGTCGAGTGGGACGAAGTTCGGGAGCGGCCAAGAGGGGGGTGTCCACGACGAAGAGGGGGGGGGGTGCAAATTATGACCGGCGGCACGTGCGCGGCCCGGCGGGGGGGGGCCCAGGGACGGAATGACATAAGAAGAGGCGCCATGAAATCTGGGGAAATATCATGGCCCCCGCCATGATATGCACCCGCCCCCTAGTCATCCCCCCCGCTATTTGCCGCCGCCGAGAGGTGAAGGGCCATGCGTAGTCTGCATGGAGCCCGCTGCCGCTCTGCCCCGTGATGTGGGCACTGCATGTGTGTGAGGCTTACCGCGGCCCTGTATGACATGGCCGCAAATTACCGCGTGCGCGCAACCGCCCGTGGGGATAAAAAAAAACGATTCTCGGGTGCACTTTCCAGCATGGCACGTCGCCACCTCGAGCTGCAAGCTGGACCTGCGCTTGTTTCCACAAAACAGAGCCCGAGCGAAACAGTGTTCCCCGTTTTCGTTTTGTTTTCGTCATCCCTAGTTCTGTCTTCGTTCCACATTTGCTGCAAAACGAAATCAAAACGAAAACGGTCCACGAAATTGCCAAAAACACAGTTTAGCTCGAACCCTGCAACAACAAACGAATTGATGATATGTTCCATATATCGAACGACCTTGTAACAGACCCTGGACCGGGAAACCGCGAGGGGGAGGACGAGGACGACACGGTGCGGACGAGACGGAGGAGAACACGGGGCGAAGACGGGGCGGTCCATTGAGGAATTCACCGTGTGAGTGCTGCACGGTGCCACCTGGAACCGCCGCGGGATCCTGACAAATGTCGCGTGCAAGTCGCCTCGCGTGCGAACTCGAAAGCGAAGGACGACGACGGAAACAACACAGCCGCGACGGCGACGAGAACGGACGCGGCCCCCACCTCCGACGTCACATGTTTCTGTGCGGCGCGGGCCCCAGCGCCAGCGGCAGTAGGAGGGAGGAAGAAGATGAGCGATGAGGGACCAGGAGGATCAGGTGAGTGGCAGATGAGGAGGAAGACGCATATGAAGAGGATCGGGGAAGACGACTGTGAGCATGGAGACGGATCAGGAATATGATGAGGAGGGGAAGGGAGGATGAGGAGGAACGTGTGGGATGGAGGAGGATAGGAGACGAGGGCGATTAGCACCATGATGGGGGATGGGGATGGGAAGGGGAGGGAAGACACATGCAAAGAGCTCCAGTGCTCAACGCAACACATATCATGTCATCATAAGATGGCGCCGTCAATCCTCATTCGGAAAACAAGGGCAGCGCAGAAAAAAAAAACGCGAGAGGAGCGAAGCTAATGACTCCCCCCGCGGGCGGGCGTCAGCCTTTAGCTAACGCCCCTCGCTGCGGCGGCGCGCGCCAGCCAGAGCTCGGCACGCCCTTAGAGCCAGACGTCAGACTTCCCCCCCCTTCCGGAAGGCACCTCGTCCCTCAATCGCAACAGCGCTCTTTGTTGTACGGCGCCCGCGGCAGGGAAGGGAGCACCCCTGACGCGGCCCTTGGGGGAGAAGTCCTACATAGATAGGAGCGACCTGGCGCCCGCTGCCCAGCGATCGGCCCACAAGGCCCTCAAGGCCCGCCGCCACGCCGCGGCCCACGCCAGAACGCTCGGAACACAGCTCGAACGCGTCCAGGGGACACTCAAGGCACAGCTACGCGATGTCCCAGCCTTTCTGGCCAGCGCCAGTCTTCGCTCTACTGATCGTCGCGGCCCCAGATGCCGCGCCAGCTGCGCCAGTTCCTCGTGCCCCATCCTGAATTCCAAGACGACCAGCGGCTCTGCGAGTCCTGGCGCCGCGGAGGGCGCGGATCTTCTTCCTCCGCCGCATGCTGGCGTCTCCTCGTCGTGGGGTCTGGGAAAAATCAACGATGCTGCTGCCGACATCGATCGCTTGGGATGAATCTCCCAGAGCGTCGGCTCCGCAACTCGATGACGCATGACAGCCTGCACATTGTACGGCCGCTTGTCGCCGCAACGCTCTACCCCTTCATCTCTGGCGCCTCTCTGCCATTTGCCTCCAGTGGACGTTTGCCGGTTCAGGCGGGGGGTCGACTTGACTGACCCCTCTTTTTCCGACAAGACGGCTGCGCGTGCATCCGATGACTCGGACCAAATCACGTAGGTTTGATGAGCGCCGGCCGGCAATGGTTGTTTGTCTGGGTTGCTTGATCCGTACCCTTGGCGTCCTCCGCCTCCGCCTTATCTGCGTGCGTCCGTGGAATGTCAAAGCGGCCGGGGCCTTCGCCTGCCAGCGTATCCACCGACGACAACGAGGAATGTTTGTTGAGATTCTGGAAGGAACGCGAGTCGACGCCGCTGACACAGTCAGGGGGCTCGGTCTCGAAGGTGATATGTTGGATTTATGTTTGAGCCGCGGCACTGCCCTTCATGACTTGGTACGCCCACCTTCGGAACAGGAGGCAAGGCCTCGTTGTCTCGTGATGAGGCTTTTGGCTGATAATCAATATTTTGCCGATTAATGTTGATCCAGGCATTGCGCTGATCCGATTGATAGGTGGTTGATCTGAACGTTTTGGTAGGTAATCTTGAAGTAGTGGTCCCAAGTTAAATTTCGGAGAGGACGCGCGTGAAGCCATGGCGTGTTCTTGGGAGTATCTAGTGAGCAACTGTACTAGAGAGTTGTATGCATGTTATGATACGCGGGAGCGCCCGACCTGGGCGAGGGGAGGGCGCAATTTTCAAACCAGTAAATGTCACGTTGTAGCAGGTTGGCGCCTCCAGCCCTCATCTGGAGGGTAAGGCCGGCGCGCAAAAAAAAACGCGGGAGGAGCGCAGCTGAGGACTGAACGGCATTGGTGGTCCCGTATGCCTCTCCGATTGGCTGCTCGGCGCCGTGAGCGTGCAGCATACTGTTGATCTGCAGGGCGAGAGCGAACCTCTTCCGCCGAAAGCCAAGCGGGACGCGCACAGCCTTGAATTAGCAGAGAAAGGGCGGAAGAAGGCGGGGCCTCGCGCGGCGTGCAGCATACACCCTGACGGACGAAGAATAAGGATGGAGCCAAAGCAGAACACGCTACATTCATACAAACGTTCGGAGGCCCGCGCGGATCTCCTGGATCGGCGCCGGACGCCCTCGGGCGGCGCTCGGCGGTGCGGTGGAGGCGTCGGTGCGGAGAGAGCAGTGGGCTCCGCGTCGAGCCCTGTCGCCGATGCGTCGGCGATCTGGCGCGGTCCACCGACCCCAGCCAGCTCGACCTCATCTGGGCAGGCTGGAAAAGAAGGAGCATGGACAGAAGGGCCGGGTCGGACGCACGAAGGGGTGAGCGAATCAGCCCACGTAGCTGATCTCATCAGCGCCCCCCGTGGCGCCAGGTGCGCCAGCATCTAAAATGCCCAGCGGCGGGGCCGAACCAGGCTGCGCCGCAGATCTCGTAGAGCCCTCGGGACATGGCCTTCATCCCGAGCCGCTGTTCGACGGTCCCTGGGGCCGTGGGAGAGCCCCTGGGGAGCCCGACAACAGCGAAAAGCTCCCTCAGGCCCCGCTTGGCTCATGGGGAGAAGGAGGAGGAGGAGGAGGAGGAGGAGGAGAAGGAGGAGGAGGAGGAGGAGAAGGGGGAGGAGAAGGAGGAGGAGAAGAGAGCAGAGTGGGGAGCACAGGGGGGGGGGGGGGCGCTTCGCGTGAAGATCGCCCACGAACTCGCCCTCGCCCACCTGCTGCGCCTGCGGGGGCCCCAGCAGCCTCTGCCGCTTGGCGGCCGGCTCGTCTGGTCGGCCCACCCCGCCCCACCAGCACCTCGCCGCCCGGGCGACGTCGGGGGGGGCGCTCGCCGCCGCCGCCGCCAACGACGACGACGACGACGACGACGACGACGACGACGACGACGACGACGACGACGACGACGACGACGACGACGACGGCGGCGTTGTCGTCGTAATCGTCGTCGTCGGCGTTGCATCAGGGAGTGGAGGAGGCGCGCTCGTCGTCGTCTTGGTCGTGACCCCCCTCGTTGTTGTCATGCTCATCCTCCTTCTCCTGCTCCTCTCCCTTCACGTCGTCCTTCACCTCCTCCTCCTCCTCCTTCTCCTCCTCCTCCTCCTCCTCCTCCTCCCGAGGCAAACCCTCTCTCGCCCCTGCCCTTCCCTAGTCTCTAGCTGGAGCCACGCCGCATTTCCTCTGGCTCGGTTCCTGTACCGTCTCGCCTACTATATTGAACCAAACCCCCTTTCTCATTTCTCTTCCTCTTCCTGTACCTGCCCCTCCTGCTCGTGCTATTGCACCTCCTGGTCCTGCTCCAGCTGTACAGCTGGCCAGAAAAGGGGGGCTGGCCGGGGCTGGAAAGAGTGGCGGGGCTGGCCCCAGCCATTCTATCCAGCTTCCCTGTCTGTTGACGCTTCTCCCTCTTCTGCAACAAGAGGAGGTATGCCGACGCCAGCCCCCGACTGAGTGGAACTTTCGACTGGCCGGACACGTTGGGCCCCAACTCGAGGGTTTCCGATGGGGTGCGCCCAACATCGATAGTGGTGCGTCCGACCAGCCCCCTGGGGGTGTATCCCCGAGTTCCCGTGCTTCTTTAAACGATGGGCGCTTGTGAAGCGGAATTTGTCGACTGGTGGCGAAAGATCGTCTGCCATTCTGCCGACCAGCCATAACTGGCGGAGCCGTGTCCCTTACCCGCCCCTGGGGAAGTCTCTTGAGAGGGGTGCCGAAGCCGATGGATCCCAAACTCCCCAAAGTCTGGCATGACGGGAGCAGGCTCGGAGGCAAACGGGCCCTGGATCCCAAGGCTCCTCCCCGGCACAAGGCCTTCCATCCCGATCAGGCTCTTTGACGGTACCCGGGGCAGGAGGAGGAGGAGGAGGAGGAGGACGAGGAGGAGGAGGAAGGGAGGAGGAGGAGGAGGAGGAGGAGGAGGAGGAGGAGGAGGAGGAGGAGGAAGGGAGGAGGAGGGGGAGGAGGAGGGAAAGGAGGAGAAGGAGGAGGAAAGAAGAGGAGGAGGAGGAGGAGGGGAGGGGAAGGAGGAGGAGGAGGAGGAGGAGGAGGAGGAGGAGGAGGAGGAGGAGGAGAAAAGGAGGAGGAGGAGAGAGGAGGAGGAAGAGGAGGAGGAGGAGGAGGAGGAGGAGGAGGAGGAGGCTCTCTGGCGGTACCCCGGGCCACGTGGAGGGCTCAGAAGGCTGATGGGCTGTTTTCCACCACCACCATAAGTTGGAGGGGGAGGGGGTCCTCCTCCTCCTCCTCCTCCTCCTCCTCCTCCTCCTCCTCCCTCCTCTTCGTCCTCCTCCTCCTCCTCGTCCTCCTCCTCCTCCCCTCCAACTCATGGTGGTGGTGGTGGTGGGAAACAGGCCCATCAGAAGGGGGCCAAGCACAGCGACAAACCCCAGGAGGTCCCTCCCCTCATGGCGACGGCTGTGGCCAGCTCGCCCTGGGCCTCGGCCTCGCCCTCTCCGCCGCCCTGCCCCCGAGGAGAGTGGCCGCCGCGGGGACTTAACGGGCGAAGAACGGTATAAAGAAACTGGTTCGCCGTCGGGGACACCTGCCCCAGGGCGGCTGGAAAGTTTATACCCTTACGGTGGCACCGTAGGGGGATCAACTTTCCAGTCGCCCAGGGGCAAGTGTCCCCTACGGCGAAAATTTTTATTTCATACCGTTTTTCGCACGTTAAGGGACACCGGGCCTCGTCCTGCACGTCGCACCCCGCAGCGCCCCGCCGGCGGCGGCCGCGGCGCCCACGAGCAGCCCGCGATCCGCCTGGCGGCGGGGCGGCCGCGGAGCGTGGGCGAGGCCCTGGCACTGGCGCCCTCGGCGGGGCTCGCTGTGGGGCGACGCCATGCGCGAGGCTGCGCCCAACTGGGCGGCGGGGGTCGTCACGCGAGCGCTGCCAAGGGTGCTTCCGGTGAAGCGTCGTGTGGGGGGGGCGCCGCAGCGAATGCTGAGGCCTCCGGTCACGGTGGAGCTACCTGCGGGGCCACGAACCGCGTGAGGGGTGTGTCGTCAGGGGCACGAGGACGCATGCGAGCCCTGCCACTGGTGCCTTCGGTATCGCCCTACGGAGCGACGAAGCGTGAGAGGGGTAGGCGCAGGAGGAAAGGGAGAAGGAAGGAGGGGAATGAGAGGCGAGTCCCTGCACTAGGGATCGATCATCTACACAAATCCACCTCCATCTTCCTCCTCCTCCTCCTCTGCCCTTGTCCTCTGATGTTCCTCCCCCTTTCTGGGAGAGGGGAGGGGAAGGAACGAGGTGGATCTGGATATCGCCCTTTCTCGTCCGCCGTCCGTCCCGAAGAGCAGAAGGAGTCTCCATGCAGTCAGGCCAGTCCCTCATTCCCAGGCGGTGTTGGCAGTGGTGGCAAAGATGGGCGACAGGGGATGCAGTGGGAGACGCACCTTCTCCATCACCGCTCCACCCCTGACGCTCCTCCGAGCCCGAGCCCGAGGGCAGCAGGGAGAGAGCGAGGATGAGCAGGAGGAAGGAGGGGGGGAGGAAGGAGGAGGGGGGAAGGGCGATCACGAAACGACCACCCAGTGACTGCGCTGGAAGGCCGGATCGGGGGCGGCAAAGAGGGGGGTGTCCAAGAGGGGGGGGGCAAATCATGACCGGCGGGACGTGCGCGGCCCAGCGGGGGGGCCGGGGACGTCATGAAATAAGCAGGGGCGCCACGAAATCTGGGGAAACATCATGCCCCCCCGCCATGATATCCCCCCCCCCTAGTCATCACCCCCCTCTTTTCCGCCCCCGACCGGAGCAGGGCAGCGGCAGGAGCTTTTTTTTTTTACGACTCTGGCAAGTTTACTTGCATGGACGGGGGGGGGGGGGCTGAGCCTGAAGCAAGCCGCAAAAGGGGGGGGGGCGCGGAAATCACGCAAGTCGAAAGGCACTTGCACGCTAGTATTCGATTGAAGAGGGGCGAGGGGGGGAGGGGGGGGGAGGGGGGGGGGGGCGAACGCCATGCAAGTAAACTTGCGTGAATCCAAAAAAAAAAGGCTCCAGACGGGGGGCCCGGGGCCCCCGAGCCGGGCCGCGCGCGCGCGGGGCGAGGCCCCGGCGCAAGAGGCGCTCCGCCTCGCGCGCGAGCGTCCACGCCCACGGCCGCGGCGCGGCGCCATCCGCCTCGGGGCGGGGGGGGTGCTCTCGCCATCGCTCGGGCGCCCAATTTCCGGTGCATGTTTCGGTCCCGTGCGTGTTTTTTGTTTGTTTGCTCGATGGTCCAGGATCGTCCTCAATTGAAGGGGCCCCAGGACACACAAACAAATACCCACAAGTAACAAAAGATTCCCCACATTTTCCCACATCTTCTGGGCTTCTGTCTTCCCCCCCACTTCCCATATTTTCCCATATTTTCTGGAGAATGGAGGATTAATTGTGTCTGTGTGTGTTTTTTCCTCTCCTGCTCAATGGTTCTCGCCGAGAAAACATACACACGTCCGAGCGATGCCAGGGGCGGGGCACCGAGGGCCAGGTCGGCGTCGGATCTCGAAGCCTCGGTCAGCGAGCCTCGACCTTGGGAGCTTCGAACCTCGACCTCCGCTCTTCGAGCCCCGGTCGTGGGGCCCGGTCTGGCTGGTCGTCTGGGCGGGGGGGTGGGGGGGGGGGCGTGCCGTGCGCGCGTGCGGAACACCAGTCAGGGCGGAGGGAGCGCAAGGGTTGCCCGGGAAGGGGGGAGGGGGCGGCCAGAACGGGGCTGGCTGGTCTGGGCGGGGCGGGGCGGGGTGGGGTCGGAGGGGGGGGGGAGGTAATGCCGTGCCGCGCGCACGCGCGGGATAGACAAGTGCGGGGCTGCGCAAGGGGACCGGGACGGGGATGGGGTGGGGGGGCGGGATGGCCTCACGAGGCGAGGGCCGGCGTCCAGGGCGGTCTTCACCCCCCGGTGGCGCTCCAGATCGCTCCCTGCCACGACCTCTGCGTCGTGCACACGCTCGGCTTCTGGCCGGGCCGAGGGGCCCGTGCGCCGGACACGCAAGGCCTCACTGGGGGGATTCATGTATGAAGGGGAACTGGGACACACAAATAAATACACACAAATAAAAAGATCCCCCATATTTTCATATATTTTCTGGGTTTCTGTCTTCCCTCCCACTTCCCATATTTTCCCATATTTTCTGGGAGTCGACGATTAATTGTGTCTGTGTGTGTTTTCCCCTCCTGAATGTCGAAAGGGCTCGGAGGGGAGAGGGCCGAGAACGTGGGAGAGGCAACGCGGGAGCGCGAGGGGAACAGCAAGGGCAAGGAGGTGCAAAACAGCACGCTGGAGATGGACAACTTGCATAACGATGCGTCTGCCATGTCAACACCCCCCCCCATGTCCCCCCCTGACAACACCCCCCCCCATGTCCCTGCCGAGGCAATGCGATGGAGCCCCATTCGACCTGTACCGTGTGTAACCCCCCCACCATGTAGGCCTCCAATTCTCTCTCCTTCCCTCGGTGTTCCTTCCATTCATCCCCAATATTTCCCGAATTAGGATTTGCCTAAGGCCTTAGGGGTTCTCCCTTGTCTATGAAAAATTCGTTGGGTGACAGACACGGTTGCGCCGGGGGGTCCTCGAGGTTCCCTGGTCATGTTTTCTCATGAGGGTTCCTCGAAGGTCCCTGGTCTTGTTTCCTTACACGACCGTCCTGGATTCCTTGGTCTTGGTTCCTTGGTTCCTTGCTTCCTTCATCTTGTTGTCTTGGTTCCTAGGTCTCGGTTCCTTGGCGTTGGTTCCTTTGTGCAGTGGTCCTGGTTCATGGGTTCCTTGGTCCTGGTTCCTGGGCTCCTTGGTCATGGGTCGTTGGCTCCTGGGTTCCCTGCTGTGTTTGAAAGCTGGCCTGGCTCGGGTTCCCCGAGCTCCCTGGGTGCATTGGTAGTGCTTCCTTCCTGCTTGTCCCAACCATCCTGTGCTGCTGGATCCTCGTTTTGAAGAGGCAGCGCCCCGCGTTCCTGCCTCTCCTTCTTCGCCCCTCCTCCCACACCCTTCAGACGTTTCGTGGCCCCACAGGGAGCTCCACCGAAAACCCCAGTGGCTGTGACCACATGCGTCCCCGCCATCAATTTCGGCACACCCCTCACACGTTTCGTGGCCAGGAGCTACACCGAAGGCCCCAGCTGTGACCACGTGCGCTCCTGCCACTCAGGTCGGCACACCCCTCAGACGTTGCGTGGCCCCACAGGACGCTCCACCGAAGGCCCCAGTGGCTGTGACCACATGCATCCCCCCCACCCAGTTCGGCACACCTCACACGTTTCGTCGTCCAACAAGTCATTAGCTCCACCGAAGGCCCCCGTGGCTGTGACCGCATGCGTCCCCGCCACTCATTCCAGCACACCCACTGCACATTTCGAGGCACCACAGGAGGCTCCACCGAAGGCCCCAGTGGCAATGACCACATGCGCCCCCCGCCGCCCAGTTCGGCACACCCCTCGCACGTTCCGAGGTCCCACATGGAGCTCCACCGAAGGCCCCCGTGGCTGTGACCACATGCGTCACCGCCACCAATTTCGCCACCAAATGTTTCGAGGCACCACAGGGGGCTCCACCGAAGGCCCCAGTGGCTGTGACAACATGCGTCCCCGCCACCGATCTCGGCACACCACTTACACGTTTCGTGGCCTCACAGGGAGCTCCACCGAAGGCCCCAATGGCTGTGACCACATGCGCCCCCGCAACCCATTTCGGCACACCCCTCGCACGCTTCGAGGCCCCACAGGGAGCTCCATCGAAGGCCCCCGTGGCTGTGAACACATGCGTCCCGCCACCCAGTTCGACACACCGCTTACGCGTTTCTTCGAGGCACCACGGGGAGCTCAATCGAGGGTCCCAGTGGCTGTGACCACATGCGTCCCCGCCACCAATGTCGGCACACCCAGTCACACGTTTCGAAACCACACAGGGAGCCCCACCGAAGGCCCCAATGGCTGTGACCACATGCGTCCGCGCCGCGAATTTCCGCACACCCCTCGCACACTCCGAGGCTCCACAAGGAGCCCCACCGAAGGCCCCAGTGGCTGTGACCACATGCGCCCCGGCCACGAATTGCCTTACACCCTCAGAAGTTTCGAGGCCCCACAGGGAGCTCCACCGAAGGCCTCAGTGGCTGTGACCACATGCGTGCCCGTCACACATGTCGCCACACCCCTCACACGTTTCGAGGCCCCATAGGGGGCTCCATCGAAGGCCTCAATGGCTATGACCACGTGTGTCCCCGCCACCTGCTTCGAGGCCCCACGGGGAGCTCCACCGAAGGTCCCAATGGCTAAGACCACATGTGTCCCCGCCACCCAGTTCGACACACCGCTTACACGTTTCTTCGAGGCACCACGGGGAGCTCCACCGAGGGTCCCAGTGGCTGTGACCACATGCGTCCTCGCCATCCAAGTCGGCACACCCCTGACACGTTTTGACGCCCCACAGGCGGCTCCACCGAAGGCCCCAGCGGCTGTGACATCATGTGCCTACGACGGCACACCCCTCACTCATCTCGAGGCCCCACAGGGAACTCCACCGAAGGCCCCAGCGGCTGTGACCACATGCGTCCCCGCCACTCAGTTCGGCACACCCCTCACACGTTCCGTGGCCCCACAGGGGGCTCCACCGAAGGCCCCAGTGGCTGTGACCACATGCGTCCCCGACATTCCTTCGGCACACCCCTCACACGTTTCGAGGCGCCAAGGGGAGCTCCAACGAAGGCCGCAGAGGCTGTGACCACATTCGTCCCCGCCACCCGAAGTCGGCACACCCCTCACATGTTTCGAGGCCCCACAGGGAGCTCCACCGAAGGCCCCCGTGGCTGTGACCACGTGCGTGCCCGCCACTCTCACGCTTCGAGGCCCCACAGAGAGCTCCACCGAAGGCCTCAGTGGCTGTGACCACATGCGTGCCCGTCACACATGTCGGCACACCCCACATACGTTTCGTGGCCCCATAGGGAGCTCCACCGAAGAGGATACGCACCACCGCCACTGCGGTACCCACAATTGCACATGCTTGGGTCCTTCGCCAGGATAGCTGAAGAGGCGTTCCCCAGGATGCAGTGCAATGACAAGCCATGCAATAAAACATGCCAACAAACGTCAAGCCATACCAAGGAAAACAAGACAGAGCGCGCCCACAAGGCCCGAGCAAAGGGGAGGGGGGGCTAGGCTTAAGCTACCCCCCCCTCCCTTGAGCCGCCCTTGTTGGAAGCACCCCCCCCCCCTCCCCCCCTTTGTTTTGCAAGGGGGGGGGCTTACAGCTACCCCCCCCTCCCCCCTTGGGCCCTCCCCGGAAGCTACCCCCCCCCTCCCCCCCTTTCAAAAGGGGGGGGGTGCTTAAGCTACCCCCCCCCTCCCTTGGCGCCGCCCTGCTGGAAGCTACCTCCCCCCCTCCCCCCCTTTCGTGCAAAGGGGGGGGGTGCTTGGAAGCTACCCCCCCCCTTTTGGCCGCCTCGGAAGCTACCCGCCCCCTACTCCCCTTTCCAAAGGGAGGGAGGTGCTTAAGCTACCCCCCCCCCTGGGAGCCGCCCTGCTGGAAGCTCCCCCCCCTTCCCCCCCTTTGTGCCAAAGGGGGGGGGGCTTGGAAGCCCCCCCCCCTTTCCCCCCTTTGGCCGCCCAGCCCCCGGAGCCTCCGCCCTCCCTTTCGCCGACGATCCAAAATGAACAATCCATGATCGAGGATGGACGATCGACGATCAACGATCGACGATCGAAAATCCTAATCGAATCGCTTGCAATCGATTGCACTCCATTCCACTGCAATCCCCCTCCCCGCCTCCCTCCGCTCCCTCCACTCCCTCCCCACTTTTCGTTCCATCTCCTCCCTCCCCTCCCTCTCCTCCCCTCCCTCCCTTCCGTCCTGCCCCTCCCCTGCAATCCAATCGATTGAATTGATTGCAATTCAACCGATTGCAATCCAATCGATTGCAATCCAATGGATTGCAATCGAATCGTTTGCAATCCAATGGATTGCAATCGATTGCAACGCAATGGTATCATTCAACTCGTGCCGTGGCAACGCCCGGGAATGAAAAATTACCCAGGCGACGTACCCAACCCGTTGCGCAAACGCGGGGCGTAAATTGTTTGGGACACTGTATAAGGGGGGCGATGACGGAGCGAGGGTTACATATGCCTGCAGACGGAATTCGGGAGACTCGCAGGACACTGGCTTCAGGACAAGGACTAGATAAAGCTGATTAGTTGCAATCCCTAAGCAACCCTAGCCACTTCGAAATCGGGGATCTCAGATCGCAGCCCCCCAGGGATGGCGAGGTCTAATTTGGGTCCGCCCGTGGCGTCACTGTGCTGGGCCCCCCAGCAGGCCTCGAAAGTGGCGACGGGTTAAGAAACACCTGAACAAATCTTGAGAGTTGTTTCAGAAGAGCGAGCGCACGTTTTTGTTTATATATATATATATATACATATGTGTGTGTGTGTGAATATACAAAAAAACGGTGTTGAGAAACCCTGTTTTGTTGATGTATATATATATATATACACACTGGATTAAAAAAAAAGGTTGTTTGACATTCGGTTGTGAAATAGGTAAGACACCGAAAGCTTTCTTCCGTATTTCAGCATGCGCGCGCGACGACGCGCGCGCGCGCACGTCGTCACATTCTTGTGCAAAACATTCTCGCGACGGCACGCGCGCGAGGGCGTTCGAACGACTCCGACATTCGCGCGCGAAGCTCGTTTTGCAGCATTTCCTGAACATGATGAACAACAGATGAGCGCGCGCAAACTTTTAGAACATCCATGTTACGGAAACCCGTGTTGTTTGTGATATTTGGACACTCGGTTTTGAACCCCTTACAAAACCGACAATGTTTGAAGGATTTCGGCATGCGCGCGCGCGAAGACGCGCGCGCGTGCACTTCGTCTCGTTGTTGTTCTGTTGCAAGGGATTTTTGAAAACTAGTGTTTGTTGGTAAACGAATGCGCGCGCAAACATGTTTTGCAGAGGATGGCGCGGAGGGGGCGGATACCGGCGCGGCTGGTATGGTAAGAACTTATAGTTAGGATGGACGAAAGGACAACCATATGCAAATTGCAAGACGAAAATGTGGGTCGATAATCCCGAGGAGGGGGGTCGAGCCTAGCTCCTTTGTAGAAAGAGGAATCTACGCGGTGCTAGCTTGAAGATTACTCACCCCACTGCTCGCGCAAACATCAAACCCCAAGCGGCGGCGACTGCGACGAGTGCTTGGCGCTGGCCGGTGCACCTCTCCAGCCGCGACGGCACTTGCACGCGCTCGCAGCGGCACAGGACGGAGAGGCGTGCGCACTTCGAACTACCCAAACTGCACCATGCGCACTGCGCCCACAAGACTGCCCCGCATACATTGCACGACAGCGATTGAAAGATATGGTTTGCAACACATATCTCGTACCGCATATCGGGAGCGGCCAAGAGGGGGGTGTCCAAAAGGGGGGGTGCAAATCATGACCGGCGGCATGTGCGCGGCCCAGCGGGGGGGCCAGGGACGTAATGAAACAAGAAGGGGCGCCATGACATCTGGGGCAATATCATGGCCCACGCCATGATA